GTTTTGAATAAGGAACGCACACTTTTCAAAACGGGCTCGGTCGCTCCTTGGGTGTGCATTCGTCCCGTTACTGTTTGCGCGAGCCCCCCTGGTGCCCCTTCAGATTTTGGACGCGCGGGTCCCTTCCCTCGGACGTCGTAGCCCTGCCTGGGAGAGAAAAATGACTTCGTTCCTTGTGTGTCGTTCCTTCGGTCAGGCCGAATCCTGTATACGCTGGGCTCTCTGGCCCCTCCCGTCAGGGGGCGGCGGCCGCGCCGCCCAGGCCGCTGGCGAGGGCGCTGGAGGCGGCGCTGGACTGCGGAGGAGGAACAGGCCCAGAGTTGAGTCGGGCCTGTCCCTCCACAGGAGGGATATTCAGAAATCGTCAAAGCATGGTCTGGGGACGATGTCTTGACTGTTGTGAATGTCTGTGGAGCATTTTTTGGCAATGTTTCATGTTTCGCCCAAAAGCCGCCTGTGGGGGGACAGGCCCGACTTGAGCCCAGATCCCCGACGATATGTCATTTTTTCAACCAGCATTTTCTTTGCTCGGTTTGGGCCTCATCATCGATCATGGAGCCGGGGCGAAAAGCTAGCCGCGGAAGAGGGGTCGGGAGGTCCTGGGCTGCGCAGTGAGAAGCCATGTCGTCCGATGTTTGGGACTAGATGTGTCTGCCGCTGCTCGTCCTGGAGAGTCCTCGCGCCACGGCTGGATTCTCCCCGCGGTCCTGGGCAGAACGCGACTTGGGAGAGGTCGGTGGAGTTCTGCGCTATCTGTTCATGGGCGTGTTTTTATGCAGATTTGTTTTGCGAGTACATTTCCATAGTTCCCCCCCCCCCAACACACCCAGGCGCCGTTGCGTCAAATCCAGATTTTCAGGCGTGTGGTAATGGTGTGACCCAAATGGGGGGTGAAGAAAAGAGCCTGAAGGGGCCCTTAGGGCCCCTTTTTGGGCCAGCTGGTGCCCAAAAGGGGCCCTGAAGGGTCTCTCGAGTGCCCTTTTCTTCGCCCCCCATGTGGTCACCCCCCACTGCCACCCGCCCGAGATTTCCTTTCGGGCCTCGACCTCCCCCTTCCACGCAAGTGAACCTGCCACAGTTGGACAAAAACAAGCTGCTTACATGTTTACCCCCTCCCCCCAGGACTGCCGCGTGCTGGGCCCGCCCGCCGCGTCGTCGTCGCTGCTGCGCGGCGCTTCCTGGGCGGTGGTGTTCCGATGCCGGTGAGCATCGCTGGTCGGCTGAGGCGTCCTGCTCCCAGAGAGGGGAGGGAGGGCGGGGAGGAGGAGGGCAAGGCGGACCCCCCCCCCCACCCCCGACTCTCTTCCTCCCAACAACCGAGAAGACAACCGACAGGGCGCTTTGCACGGGAGATCGGCCACGGCCCTCTTCCTCGCCAGCGTTTCCTTACACTGGTCTCCGCCGTTAAGTGGCATAGAATAGCATAGCATAGCAGAGGTCGGTCCACTCAGCGACGGAGCCCAGTGTAAGAGAACGCGGGCGAGGAAGCGAGCCGGGGCCAATCTCCCACACACAGCGCCCTTGGTATAATTTGTGGTCTTTTGGCACAGCATAGCACAGTGCAGCGTATAACAGCATAGCATAGCAGAGGTCGGTCCACTCAACGACGGAGACCCGTGTAAGAGAACGCGGGCGGGGAGGAGAGCCGGGGCCGATCTCCAATGCAAAGCGCCCCTGACGTTGGTTTTGGTTGTTCGGAGGGAGAGCCGGGGGTGGCGGGGGTGGGGGTCCGACGGGGCGTCGGGGGGCGTCGTACTTTCCGTTGCGCTGCCCCTTATTTCGAGCACATTGCAGCACAATGCTCCCAAAGCAGTGCTTGCACTCAGGGGAAGGGGCTCCACCTGGTGGTCCTCTGGCTGGACTTCCACAGTCGCCTTCCGTGCGGCGCCCAGTCCGGCGGAAGTTCTCACAGGTCCAGGCGGGGCCAAAGGAATTTCCACTTGGTGCCAAGGGGCTCCATCTGGAGGGCCTCCACCTGGACTTCGACCCAGACATCCGGCGTCCTGATCTCTTCCATGCGGGGTCTCGTTCTCTTGAAGTCCCCACCCCCCCCGCAGGGCCGTGCTCTCATCCCGGCCAGCTCTTGGACGCTCCCTGGGCTCGGCGAGGGCCGCCAGACGCCGAGAACGGCCAAAAACCATTCGTCGTGCTTTTTGAACGGCGCCAGCATGCCTGAGTCCAGCCTCCGCGCCGTTGCCGCGCAGCGCAGACCCTCTCTCTGACTCGGGCGGGCGCCAGCGCGTTGCTCCCGACAGGCGGCGGACCCCGGGCGCCTCGCGATGGGCGGCCAGTGTTGAAGCAGCCGAGCAGCGCCCACTGTCGAGGCTGGGTTGCATCTGCTGTTGGGCCCACTTCGGGCGTAGAGTCAACCCGCATAGCAAGGGTGGGCAATTGTCCAAGGTTGCCCGTGCATCCTTCGCCTTCGGCCCTTGGGCGCTTTCGCTGGCCGCGCCCCGCTCGCATAGAGTCGACGTGGGCCATGCCGACTCTTTGCGAGCGGGGCGCGAGGGCCTTGGAAAGCATGCGCTGAGGATGCGAGGGCCTTGGAAGGACGCGTGGTGAGCATGCGAGGGCCTTGGAAGGCCATGCCGAATGGCTGTCCCAAGGCCCTCGCATCCTCACCGCGCATCCCCTGCAGCATGGGCCGCCTGTGTGACATCGGGCCTCCGCGCCGTCGCCGCGCAGGCGCAGCCCCTCCCTCTGGCTCGGGCGGGGCCGGGCGCGCTGCCCCGCGACCCCTCGGCGGCCCCCCCCCGGGGGGCGCCCTCTCCATGGGCGCCTCGGCCTCGTGCGAGGCGCTGCGGAAGAGGCTGCAGCGGCTGCGGGCGGGGGACGCCGCCCCGAAGGTCGCGGAGGAGCAGGGCCGCCCCCAAAGGCTTAAGTCAGGCACGTCCTCCCACAGGAGGAATATTCGAGACTGTTCGAAACATAATCTGGGTACGATGTATGGCTTTTTCCTATGCTTCGAGCAGGTGCTGAATATGTTTCATGTTTCGTCCGAAGTCCGCCTGTAGGAGGACATGCCTGACCTAACCCACGTTCAGCTCTGCTTGGGGGGTAGACTACACGTAAGAGTGACCTTTCGCCGGAGTGACCTTTCGCGCGGGCCCAGAGGGGTCCCCCGATCGCGGAGCACGAAGCGGCAGCAGCGGCACGCGCTCCCAGGTTTGGCCACCCCGCGTCCCCCGTGAAGCTGCGCACCCTGGAGAACCCTTGGCGCAACGGCTGGATGCTCATTCGGTGTTCTGGTCTGGGGTATTTGGTTTTGGCGTACGCGGTGTGCTACCAGCGCCGCTTTTATGGTGCATGTCGCCTACCTGGGGCAGCTGCCACATCTCAAGGGAGGCGAACTTGGCGTAGCTTTGCTTGACATGATGTGGCCTGATTTGGCGCAGCGTGGCCTGGCACAGCTGGGCTCCAAGGCCCATGTTCGCTTCGTTGGCCTGAGCTGATACGGACGATTCGTACTGTCTTGACTTGGTATTCGCTACGAGGGTCGCGGCCTGGCTCCTTGCGTAGCCAGGCTCAGCTGAGCTTAGCTCGGCTAAGCTTTCATGAGCTGATCTCGGCCCAGCTCAGGCTGAGCTGGTCGTGCCTCGGATCACCGCGCCTAGCATGGATTCGCTCAGCGGAGCTGTGCCTGCCTGGTCATACTCAGCTCAGCTTAGCTGCAGGGTTCGGAGCTACTTCAAGACAGGCCCGTGTTTTTTTGGTAGGAGCGATACAGCAGGCGACTATGATGGTGACGACGCGTTGCAACATGATAATGGCGGGGGCAGTCGGGCACACGGCGCACCGCTTCCCCCTTATGCTCCACTTCGGCCAATCAAAGTATGTGCCCGCTCATGTACCAGCCAGAAACAATCTCCGCAATCGGCAGCACTATGCCTTGGGACTGCTTTGGACGAGGCCGAGGCAGGGAAAGGGCTGACGGGGGCGCTGAGCTGTTTCAGCCCAGGGGGCCAGTGGGGCTCAAGCCTCTCCAGGCTGACGGCGTAATCGTATCAAAACAAAGTGGGCGGTGGTCGCTGGATCTCGGGCCACACGAGGGTCCGCGAGCACGTACGGCTTCTCAGCGTGCGTTCGCCCCCCCAGGGTCCTGCCGAAGACCATCCAGGATGGGTCCCGCTAGCGAGGATGTTGCACAGACCTTTTGTGCCCGCACAGTACGTCCAAGAGGGCCAAAGCAGTCAAAACCCAAATCATCCCGACGTGATTTCCTTTTTGTATGGAGATCCAATGCGTTGCCAACGCGTGGCTCCCAGATAGCCTCAGATCATCAAATGGTTCCGAATAGAGTTGCAAGAGTGACTTGGTGTCTGAATTTTCATGGCGACTTCAGACACCAAGGTGTGCGTTTCCAAGCCACGGATTCGATCATCCGGGCACGTCCCTTCAGACGCGCTATACGCTTGTCTCTTACGGCGCGATGGTTTTAGTATACAGTACATTTGTGTCTACATATATATATATATATGCATTGATCCATCTACATTTGCATATATATACACATGCAGCGGGAAAAAGAAAGTGGGAGCGATTACGATTGACATAATTAGTCAAGGAGAGAGAAGGAGGGAAGGAGGCAGGGAGAGAGAGAGAGAGAGAGAGAGCGAGGTGGTAGTAGTACCAATCTTAGCCGTATTAATGATGCCATCCGGAGTGGTGTTGGTGGTGAGATTGGTGATGTCAGCGATTGTACTCATAGTAGCAGGGGTGTAAGAAGAAGTCGTAGCAGCTCTGGGGGAGACGGCCTTAAGTGATCAGCGCAGCCGCTGTGTAGTCGATCGGCCCCCGAGTCACTTGCAGTCCGAATGCAAAGAGGCATGCGCGCAATCGCAGGGGCGCCGTAGCCACATGCAGACCCCAGCGCCCCTCTTCTCGCGAGCCCTTCGGCATCGTTTAGCGCTCCCCCTGCCAGGGCATCTGCGTGCCCCCGCCCTGCACCGGGGGGCCGGGCCGAAGCAGCCAGAACCAGCCTACGATCCGGGCACCGCCAGCGGAGGACAGCCTGGCGCAGCAGCACCCCCCGCACAGCGCCGAGGCGAGAGACCCGCCCGAGGCGTCCGACCCTCACTGCGTCCCGGAGATCACGGCGGTCGAATCACAAAAGCAGCCCGCGGTCGAGTCGCCGAAACTAGGGTTAAGTCGGGCGTGTCCCTCTACATGAGGCATACTCAAAGGTCGTAAAACAATAGTGTGGGGACCACTTGTTTGACAATGTTTGAGCATTGTTGGACTGTTTTTTTACATTTTTTTTTTGTTCGCCCGAAGTCCCCCTGTAGGGGGACAGGCCCGACCTAAAACAATGGCCGCTTTGGGCTCAGGAGGGGCTCGGCTTCTCGGGCCGCGCCTCAGACCTGGGTCGGGGGACCTCCCCGTGGGGCCGGAGCTCGCCGCGGCCAGGGGAGCGCCTCCGTTCCTGGTCTTGCGCTCCTTGCGTCAGCACGCTGACCGTAGTCTTACGTCGGGCCTGTCCCTCTACAGGAGGAAGACTCACACATTGGAATTGAAGACTAGTGTGGGGACGAGTTCTGGACCAGTCTTGACTATTTGTGAGGGGGACATGCCCGACCGAACTGTAATCATACATTCTTTGACAGGGGACCTGCCCGACCGAACTGTATGATACATTTTTGGAGGCCCTTGCGGATTTCTTGGATCGGCGCTGGCCCCCCCCCCCTTGGCGGTGCCTCTGGCGCCGCCACTGGCGCTCCAAGCTCCGGCCGGGGGGGTTGCAGCGCCGATTCAAGAAATATGCGCGAATACCCTCCGAGAAGCTCCGTGTATGCCGTCTTTTGTTTCGCCAGGCGGAGCACAGCACCAGGATGGGCCGCGAGATGAGCAAGTGCAGCAACTACTCCACGCGGTCCGAGCTGCAGAGCCGCCGGCGGCCCCAGGACGCGGGCAGGAGATCGGGGCCTGCCAAGAAGGGGGGGGGGGTGACCAGGGCTCGAGCAGTCGCTGGCTTGCGCAGATCAGGAGGGAAAGAAACACACAGACACAATTCATTTTCGATTTCCAGGAAAATATGGGAAAATATGGGAAGTGGGGAGGGAAGACAAAAACCCAGAACATATGGCAAAATATGGGGAATATTTCTATTTGAGTGTATTTATTTGTGTGTCCCAGGGCCCCTTCAGCAGAGGCCCACCCAGGAATGTGCGATGCTGAGTGCCTCGATGGCTTGGGGCCCGCGTGCCACAGGGGCCCCCCTGGACTGCAGGGGCCCCCGCCCCCAGGGGCCCATCCCCCCTGGACGACTACAGGGCCCCTCCCCGAGACCACGAGGGCCCCCCCCCCCCCCTGGACCCGCCCCCCCCCCCCGGATGACAAGGCCCCCCCCCCCCCGGGCTACAAGGTCCCCTCCCCGCATCCTAGCACAGGTCACCCCAAAACTGCTCCGACACTGTGAGTAAGAACCTTTCGGGTGGTCTGCACGAGATTTCTGAGAACATGTTGGACGGAGACTGTCCGGCTTGAACCTCTCGTTCGGTTTTCAGTTCTGGGAGCTTTGCTTGTGCTATTAGAGCGTTGTTTAGTTCTGATGGTCTTGCCTGGTAGGCCCAGCGGAATGCAGGGACGGTCGGTCCCTGCTCAAAGGTTGGTTTGGGGGTTCTCATGGCTAGGGCCATAAGCTTGCCCCCGATTGCATGGCCCGGCTTCTTATCTCGACACGTCCTCTGGCCCTCCCCCCCCTTGGCCGCGCACGTGCCTCGGGCCATGATTTGCGCCTCCCCCTCTTGGTCACCCCCTTTCGGACGCCCTCGAGGCTAACCGAGGACGATGAGCAGCAGGATGCCACCATCGTGGTCGAGAAGACACTCCCCCAGAGGGCCTCGATCGGTCCGTCGGGCCTCGACCACGGATCCTCGGATCGCCGATGCACTGATCGTCTGGGGGCGGATCGGGGATCAGGCCGTGCACGGGGGGGCACCAGACTGAGTCTTGAGTGGGCGGGTCACTCTAAGGATCTTCTCGATGGTCGACAATCCAGAGCAAGAGCCGGTCTCGCCCAAGCGCTACCGCTCCCGCCGACAAGCCGGAGCGGCTGGTGAGGGCGGCTGGTGAATGCGGCCCCGACCTCCCCTGAGGCAGGCGCGCTTGGGTTGCAGAGTGCCGCGCTGCCGTCCGAGAGCAGCTCCCGGAGCTGGTGAGGCTTCGGGCTGCGCGCAGACAGCCCCTCCCCCGGGCAGTTTTGAGTCGGGCCTGCCCCCTCTACAGGAGGAACATTCAAAAAGAGGTAGAAAATGGTCCGGGGACCATTTTTTGACAAGGTTGGAGCCTTTTTGCAGCATTGCTGGGGTATGTGAAGTTTTTCGTCCAAGACCCCCCTGTACAGTCGGGGCCCTGAGGAAGGAACCCTTTTCGATGGGCAGGGGCTCCGCGTTCCCTGAGTGTTTCGCGGCTTGCCTCAGGCTTTCCTCCTGTTTTCGATCGGGAATCGAAGGCTAACTTAAGGAACAAAAAGGGGCCTCGTTCCTTATTTAGGGCTCCTTAGGTCAACGCCTCGACTGTAGGGGGACAGGCCCGACCGAAAGGTAGCTCCGGCGGGCCTCCACGGGCTCCGCGAGCATCCCAGGGCGGTCAGCGACATCCCGGCACCGCTCCCGGCGGCGCCCGTCCCGCGCGCCACGCTCCGGGGGCTTCTCGGGGGTGGACAGACGCCCCAACAGTCCCAGACCCCCTCGAGTCATGAAAAAATCACGACGGAAGGTTTTTCGCTATTTTCGGCCTCCGGGGGCCCTTAGCGGCCCTCAGGACCGTCAAAAAATGACTCGGGATGAAAAACCGGTCCCGGGGAATGGGTCCGGACCTCTGGGGGTCGCGTCATGAAAAAATCATGACCTCGGGGGTCTGGGGTGACACGTCGATTTGCGAATTGTCCGTTTTCGATTCTCGAGAGGGCGCCGCGGCCGTTATTATTTTCCAGGCTTGCGCCCGCCAGGTTTGGACCTCAGGTCGTTTCCACGAAACCACGTTCTCCTAACGGGAGGTCTGTCCATCCCCGGGTTCTGAGCTGCTGATGAGCCGCCCTGGGCTGCTCGGAGGGGGCACGCGGAGGCCCGCCCGGGCTACCGGGGAGGCCCTCGAGGTGCGCAGCCTGGAGCCCTGCCGGGGCGGTGCGGTGGGACGCTTCGTTGTCTCGATAACGCCCGTATGGAAGCGCAACACGTCCCGTGTTCGAGACGTCCGTGTCAATACGCTGCGTGTCGACTCCACGTGTTGGCCCTCGTTTTGGCGAACGTATCGCGTCGGACCTGCGTTTCCAGTCCACGTGGTGAGCTCCGTATCAATGCGCCACGTGTTGCGTGTTGCGTATCGGGGCAGCTAAGGTGGGACGTCGTCGCTCGAGATGCCAAGGCCAGGCCGCGGAGCCCAACCGTCAGCTCGAGCAGCTCTGGGAGGTATACGTTCCATGCCGAGCGCTGTGAAGAGCGAAGTCGAAGCCAATGCTGGACCACTAGTGGAACTCGATGCCTATAGGTCCCAGAAGCGTTCGCCTTGTCAGCGCCAGGCCAAGGAGGGCCCTGACCGTGAGCAATCAGGCAGACTCTAGCTGGCCAGGACAGGCAGTGACCACGATCGGTCAGGATGTCAGCACTGTTGGTAGCTCCCTTGACCAGGCCTGTCAGATAGAGCTTTCCTTGACACGGATGGCCGCTGCAGATCGTCCAAGCCGTGGACTTGAGAAGCAAGGGACGCAACGCAGTTAGGGCAGGTCAGGTATGCTCGCATCTCAGTTCCCAATCCGCCCACGTCGTGTTTTCCAAGGTGCTGAACCTAACGTTGACGAGTGAACACAAAGCAGATGACATCCCCCGGCGCCATGCGTACATTCCCAACCAACTGAGCTTCAATCTGGATGCCCCAGACAGGGTCTATCCTTGGTTCTCGTCTAGAGTCTTGAGTGGTGCCCCTAGTGAAGCCACCATCTGTTTGGGATTCTCGCGAGGGTTGCCATGATCGCTTCTTTGATCATCCGCCACTCCAGCATACAAGCAGCCACTTCAAATTCCAGACGCTTCGCGTCACCCCACCTGCCAATCCAGAAAAGATGCCCAGGCGAGGTGCCCTGATCAAGGATGTGGAGGAGCATGCAGCGGAATAAAGGGCTGCAGTACACCCTCACGTCCCAAGTCCCCTCATCATAGTGAAGTCCATACAAGCCTTCCGTTCCACTGCGGGCGCCCCCCCTGAATGACGAGCGGCCGGTCGGTCCGCCGGCCAGGCGAGGGCGGCTGTTGTGAAGGATCCTCCGTCCACTCGAAGGGCGCGTCCCTTTTTGAGAAGCACGTGCCCGCAATCCGTCCAAGCTTGCAGGGTGTCAAAGTCGTGGACGCGCCCTGCGTGGAAGTTCCACGCGAGAGCCTCTTCCAAGGAGGCTCAGGGATAGCTTCATTTTGAAAAACTTTGCCCTGCACCCGACTAAGCGTTGCAGGATGTCAAGATCATGGACGTATGCTTCTCGGAAGTCTCACGCGAGAGCCCCGTTTCGAAAGAGGAGCCGTCTCCAATCCGTGTTAGTTGGGTCCAGAGGTCGAGGAATGGTCAAGTGAGTGTAGATGGTGGACTTCGTAAGCGATTGTGTGCACGAGACCATTGGGAGACCCCAGTACGGCGGGGGATTTTGACTAGGAATGTGTCCCGGAGGCTGCGTAATGATTCCTTATCTGATGAGGGCGGCGGTGATGTCCATTGCCGATCCACAATTTGAGGTCCACGGGTTTCCAGACTTTGGACTCGTTATCTGAAGGCTCCTTGTCTACAGCCCCCACTGTCCTGGAAAAGACCCGCCATCCACCTGCGCAGCCAAGGGCAAGCTCTAGTCCGAGTGCGCACGGTGCCACGGCGAGAGCTTCTTCAGGGGTGGGCCAATGTTGATGATCAGCATGTGCGCGCCCAATAGGAGGTACTGTATGTATCGGATGGTGAAGGTGAGGCCGGATGGATGTCCACAAACGTGTATCTGTTGCACAGGATGGGGAGGGGGGGGGGTCGGATGGTTGTGGCCGAATTTGTTTCTTCACGCAGGATGACAAAGGTTGGCCCGTGCGGATATACACGGGATTTCTTAGTTGGCATAGAGTGGTGAGGGTTTGGCCAGATGGATGTGCACCGTAAAACGTGTTTCGCATAGAATGATAAATGTTGGGTCTTATGGATGCTCGCCTCATCGCAGTTGTGTACATCGGATGGTGAGGGGTGGGTCGGTGGATGCGAGCAGGATCCCACTTGTTCCCTGGGAATGTGAGGGTTGGGTCGGGTGGATGTGCACCGAATGCCACGGTCTGGTTTGGGTGTTGTGAGCTGGGTCGCATGGATGTTCGCGGCGCCCAGACGAGTAAAAAGGGGCCTGCTTCCATCCTTGAAGCGGCTGCACGTTGTTTTAACGATTGCGTGTTGCGCGGAGGCGAGAACCATTGTTTGACAACAGGCTGGCCTTCACCCTCGAATCCGTTGTAAGCTCTCTAAGGCGAGGGTGCGCAGCGCTGCGGCGAGAGACACGGTTTGAAACTCATTTGGGCTCTATTATCGACGTTGTTGCCAACGTCAAGCTCCAGGACCATCACTGGCAAGGAAGAGCCAAGCGAATCGCCCAGCCCAGCCTGCGGACACGCTTGGTGGTGCGACAGGGAGGAGTTCCCGAGAAGGCAACGGAGTGGAGGGGGAGGGGCAGGAGAGAGGAAGGGGGAGAATCAATAGACAGAGGAGGGCGAGGGGCGAGCAGAACACGCAGGACTGTTGGGACGCTTCCCGGAGTCTCTTCGGATGTCTCGGAGCCTCTGTGGGGACCTCTCGTGGGCCTCTTGGGGCCACCTGGGCGTTTCGTGGGGCCCTCTTAGGGCACTCTCGGGAGCCTTGGTGGCCATTCTGGGGCCACCTTGGAGGAGATCGATCAAAGAAGTGGGTGTCCTCAGTTTGCCCCGCCCTAGTAGAGCCCTTGAAATGGTCTTTTGGCCCCCTCTTGGCACGCTTTTGGAAGACTCCTGGACGTTCTTGAGGCCGTCTTCGGTACCCCCATTGGGCTCCTCTTGGGGCTTGCTTGGGCATCTTGAGGCATCGGAGGGCAGTCGAAAACGAAACGGCGCGAAAGCAAAAACTAGAACTTGTTTCGGTCGGCTTTTGAAGGGTGTTGGCTTCTTGGTTGTTTCCTTGGGTTGGGAGGCTCCGTGGCCGCTTGGGGCTGACTTGGGGCGTTCTGGGGGCATTTGGAGCATAACGGAAGCCATCTCGGGCTATCTAGGAGATCATCTTCGGTTCTCTGAGGCCCTATTGTGGCAACCTTTTGGTTATCTTGGACCACTGCCCCCTGTCAATAAACACCCCCCTCCCCCACACGACCGCGAGCCACCCCGGACCCATGCCGACCCACCCTCCTCCACACCCGTTCTCGGGAGGGGAAATTCATGTTGCCTCCAAATCTTGAGCATGCCCGGGCACCCCGCGACCACTTGATCGATCTCCTCCAAGATGGCCCCAAGATGGCCCCCAAGATTCCACACACGATGCTAAGCGGCAGGAAGCCTATGTCCTGGCCGCTGGGAAACATCCAAACGAGACGGGCGCGCCGCCGCCAGCACGGCGACGTAGGCGTCAGCGCGCACGGACCACACGGCCCGCCGTCAATTATGAGCACGAACCGACGCGCACACTACCAACACTACCCCCAAGATTCCTGAGAGTGCACCAAGAGGCGCCCAGGAGGCCCCAAGAGGTCCCAGCGAGGTCGCCAAGAGGCCCCAACGAGAACACAAAAAAGGCGCCAATAGGCTCCCCCGATGCGCCCAACATGCTCCAAGAGGTCCCCGGGATCGCCAGCAGGTCCCCAAGAAGCCCCCAGAGGATCCCAAGAAACTCCCAAGAGCCATCCGAAGCGACTCCGAGAAGTATCCAAGAGGCCTCTGGCCATTCTGCTCGCCCTCCTCCTACCCCACCTCCCCCTTCTCCTCTTCCTCATTTGCATATGGTTTATCCTCCCTCATCCCACTCGTCCTCCTTCTCCTCCTCCTTCTCCTCCCCCTCCTCCAATTCCTCCTCCATCCTTCCCTTCTAGGGGTTTGACGGAG